GAGTAGGCTGACTACCATGAAATATGATGGCTCTCATAGCATGTATGAACATGTGACGAATATAGCAGCAAGAATTAGAAACATGGGAATGTCTGTGGACGAAAGTTTCCTTGTTCAGTTTGTCATTAACTCTTTACCTCCTTAGTTTAGTCCATTTCAAATTAATTATAACACAATTAAAGATAAATGGAATATGACTAAGCTTTAAACTAAGTTAGTTCAAGAGGAAGAAAGATTGAAGAAACAAGGAGTTCATTTTGTTAATCTTGTGGGCTTGTCTGAAGTTAAGAACAAATCCAACAAGAAGTACGGAAAGGGCAAAAGGCCACTGAAGATTAACGAGTCTTCTGCCCAAGTCCATAAGAAAGATAAGAATAAAGAAAAGTGCCATTTCTGTAAGAAAGTTGGACACTATATGAGGGACTGCTTGAAACGTAAGGCATGGTTCGAAAAGAAAGGTAAGCCTAGTGCTTTTGTATGTTTCGAATCATATTTATCGGAAGTTCCTTATAATACTTGGTGGATTGATTCTAGATGTACCACTCATATCTATAATACTTTGCAGGGATTCCTTATGACCCAAATCATAAACGACAATGAAAGATTTGTGTACATAAGGAATCGAGTCAAAGCACGAGTTAAAGCCATTGGAACCTATCGTTTAATTTTAAATACTGGACATCATTTAGATTTAATTAATACTCTTTATGTATCAGAGTTATCCCGTAATTTAATATCTTTATCTAAACTTGATTTAGAAGAATATTCTTTTAAGTTCGGTAATGGATGTTTCAGTTTATTTGAATATAATTGTTTAATTGGTTCTGGTGTGCTTTGTGATGGATTGTACAAATTACATCTTGATAATTTGTTTGCTGAGACATTATTGATCCTGCATCATAGTATAGGAACAAAACGTGCTTCTGTGGATGAGAAATCTGCTTATTTATGGCATAAGCGTTTAGGCCATATATCAAGAGAAAGGATGCAAAGATTAGTAAATGATGAAGTTTTACCTGATTTGGACTTTACTGATCTTGGCGTATGTGTGGATTGTATCAAAGGAAAACAAATCACATCCACAATTAAGAAAGCAGCTACAAGAAGCATATAACTCCTTGAATTAATACACACCGATATATGTGGTCCTTTTGATGTACCTTCTTTTAGTAGAGAAAGATATTTCATCACTTTTATAGATGATCTTTCATGTTATAGATATAGCTATTTATTGCATGAAAAATCTCAATCTGTTAATATCCTAAAGGTATCCATTAATGAAGATGAGAGGCAATTAGATAGAAAGGTGAAAGTAGTACGATCAGATAGAGGTGGTGAATATTATGGTAAATACAATGAATCTGGACAATGTCCAGGTCCATTTGCTAAATTCCTGGAAAGTCGAGGCATATGTGCCCAATACACAATGCCAGGAACACTGCAACAGAATGGTGTTGCAGAAAGGCGTAACCGAACGTTAATAGATATGGTTAGGAGTATGTTAAGTCATTCCTCATTACCCTCATCATTGTGGATATATGCATTAAAGACTGCTGTATATTTATTAAATAGGGTTCCTAGTATCCTTTTGACCTGTGGACAGGAAGGAAACCTAGTTTGAGGCACCTGCATGTTTGGGGTTGCCCAGCAGAAGTCAAGATTTATAATCCACATGAAAAGAAACTGGACTCAAGAACGACCAGTGGTTTTTTCATTGGTTATCCAGAAAAATCTAAAGGGTATCGTTTTTACTGTCCTAGCCATAGTACCAGAATAGTTGAGACTGGAAATGCAAGGTTTATTGAGAATGGTGAAACCAGTGGGAGTGTTGAACCACGTAAAGTGGATATTCAAGAAGTTAGGGTATAGGTCCCTACGTCTATGACTTCTACTGAGGTTGTGGTTCCTATAGTTGTCAGACGTTCTGATAACAATCAGAAACAATAAATAATTGAGCAAACACTACCTGATAATTTAGTAATCAATGAACCTGTGATTGGTAGGCCCCATGAAGTAGTAAATGAACCACAAGAAATGGCATTAAGAAGATCTCAAAGGCAAAGGAGATCTGCCATTTCTAATGATTATATGGTTTATCTACAAGAGTCTGAAATTGACTTAGGAATAGAAGCAAATCCAGTTTCGTTTTTACAAGCCCTTAAAAGTGATAATTCTATAAAATGGTTAGACGCCATGAAAGAAGACTTAAAATCAATGGAATACAATGAAGTCTGGGATCTAGTAGTATTGCCTGAAGGTTGTAGAATAGTCAGGTGTAAATGGGTCTATAAGACCAAGCGCGACTCTAATGGCAATATTGAACGGTACAAGGCCAGACTTGTTGTCAAAGGTTTTACTCAAAAAGACGGTGTTGATTACAATGAGACTTTTTTGCCAGTTTCCTCAAAGGACTCGTTTAGAATTATTATGGCAATGATAGCTCATTATGATCTAGAGCTTCATCAAATGGATGTGAAAATTGCCTTTCTGAATGGGGATTTAGAAGAAGAAGTGTACATGGAACAACCTAATGGTTTTCCAATTGAAGGGAAGGAACACATGGTGTGTAAATTAAAAAAATCTATATACGGATTAAAACAAGCTTCCAAACAATGATACCTCAAGTTCAATGATACCATTAATACTTTCGGATTTAAGGAAAACACTGTTAATCGGTGTATATATCTAAAGGTCAGTGAGAGCGCATTTGTAATTCTAGTCATGTATGTTGATGACATTTTGCTTGCTACTAATGATCTTGGCATGATGTATGAAACCAAGAAGTTTCTCTCTAAGAACTTTGAGATGAAGAATATGGGTGAGGCATCTTATGTGATTGGAATTGAAATTATCCGTGATAGATCACAAGGGTTGTTGGGATTGTCTCAAAAAGCTTATATCAACAAAGTTCTGGAGAGATACACAATGGATAAGTGCTCTGCGAGTCCAGTTCCAATTCAAAAAGGTGATAAGTTGAGCCTTAAGCAATGCGCACAGATTGAATTGGAACGTAAGCAAATGCAGCATATTCCTTATGCATCAGTTGTCGGAAGTTTAATGTATGCTCAGACATGTACCAGACCAGACATTAGTTTTGCGGTCGGTTTGCTAGGTAGATATCAAAGTAATCTTGGAATGCATCATTGGCGAGCTGCAAAGAAAGTGTTAAGATATTTACAAGGGACGAAGGATCATATGCTTACCTATAAGAGATCTGATTATCTTGAGGTAGTTGGATATTCAGATTCAGATTTCGTTGGTTGTTTAGACGCCAGGAAATCCACTTTTGGCTACATATTTATGTTAGCTGGAGGAGCAGTTTCATGGAAAAGTGCGAAGCAGTCTGTCATTGTTGCTTCCACTATGGAGGCTGAGTTTGTGGTATACTTTGAGGCTACAGTTCAAGGATTATGGTTGCGGAATTTTATTTCAGAACTTGGGATTGTCGATAGTATTGCCAAGCCGCTGGAAATTTATTGTGATAATGCCACAGCAGTCTTCTTTTCTAAAAACGACAAATATTCAAAATGTGCTAAACATATGGAATTAAAATACTTTGTCGTTAAAGAAGAAGTTCAGAAACAAAGAGTGACTATTGAGCATATTAGCACCAATTTTATGATAACGGATCCGCTGACTAAAGGGCTATCATCTAAGATCTTTAGTGAGCACGTTGAAAGGATGGGTATTATTGCCCGTTATGATTGATATATAATGTATTGTATATGTTCCTTGAAATTATGTTGTTAACATTATGTTGTTTTTATGTATATAAAGCTCTCTATGTTTAGTCACTCTGAGCTCTTGATGTATTGTTTCTGATTGATATAAGTTATTCTGTTGTATGTTTCTTTATATTATGTTGTTTTGTATAATGAATGATAAAGATGACAGAATTTGTCCTTGATAAGGGCATTATTGTTGGACCATTAAAAATTATTATAGATTGTTCTGAGTATAGAATTTGTAAAGTGATACATGGAAGGGAATATGTTGATTTAATAACATATGACCGCCATGATCCTTATAGGTTCCTACTTTATAATGTTTATATCTTGACCATTTAAGATATGACCTTTAATTAATTATTATTGTATACACTTTATGTTTAATTTCTAAGCTGTAAAGTTTTATTTTTATGACACATGGATCAAGTGGGAGAATATTAGAATTATTTATAATTCTTATAAAGTGGTTCATGTGAATTAAATATAATATAAGGTTTAGTAATAATTAATTTAATTGAAAGACATATTAGTCTTTAACTTTGATGGAAAGGTTACATCAGTTAATAAAATAACTCATGTCTGCAGTTAATTAAATAACTGCAATATAAAAGGTGGGTCCTCTCTCTATTTCCAATGTACGTTAAAATTTTTCTCTATCCATCGAGAGAGTTTGCGATCATAGAAGGGAAGAAAGGGAGAAAAACACTACCTATTTTGATTCAATCAAGATTCAAGTTTTAATTTTCAAACTATGGAATCATGTATGTATTTCTTTTATATATATGTGAAAATTTATCAAGTTTCAACATCCTATAATTTTATATTTGTGCAACTTAGGACATAGAAACATGAATTGATTATTGATTCTTTGCTTTTGATGAGTTTGCTTTTTAAGTTTACACTAAGGTAGTCCCCACAAAGAGGCAAGTCTCCTATTAGTCGTCGAAGGCTTCAATTTCTGCAAGTCTATGGCTCTTTCCCTAACAACATTTTTGATTAAGTTTGTAATGGTTATGGCATCCTTACAAAAACTTCCAAAAACTCGACCATTCCTTTCTCTCCAAATCCAATAAATGGATCTCTTGCTGGAAATATTCCTTGACCTTGCTTTTACCATTTTGCCCTTGCTAAATTTGGGTGCTACATACTTTCAACGTTTGAATATAAAAAATGGGGGTGATGTTGTTAATTTTTGAAACCTATGATAGAAATAAACATAAATGTGTAGTCAAATGTAATTAATCTTCCAAATATTAATTTGTTCCATCCGCTGTCATGACTCTGTCCAAAACTGGCTTCTCTCGTACCTTATTATTATAAGGTTGCGCTCTGTTCTCACGGCGCCAAATTAATTCTTTCTCTCGCTTTCTCCACCAAATCAAATCCACTCCTCTCAATTTCATTTTCATTTTCCCCCAATTTTTTAGGGTTTTAGCCTCTCCATTTTCTAGGGTTAGGGTTTGTTTTTTTCACTTGTTTCACAGCCATGAGTGAATGGCAACCACTTCTGCAATCAATTTTCATCGGCTTAATATTCTCTTATCTCGTCGCCAAGTTAATCTCTTTAGTTGTTTCATTCAAAGACGACAATTTAACAATCACTCGTAACACTGAGTCTAATTCTCAGTCTAAGAAAACCGTCGTTCTTCTCGATGAGAATCCGCGTGGACCGGAGGCCGATTTGGGCCTGCGCCTGGCCCACGATGCTCGCGAGACTGAATCTATGATCGCCGAACTTGGGAGCGTGAGAAATGAGAGCTTACCTTGCAGTGATTATGATGACGACGACGATGACGACTGGGAGGGTGTTGAGAGCACGGAATTGGATGAGATGTTCAGTGCTGCGACGGCGTTTGTGGCGGCCACTGCTGCAACGTCTCCCGCGCAGAAGGTTTCGAGTGATGTGCAGTTACAGCTTTATGGGTTGTACAAGATTGCCACTGAAGGACCCTGTAGTACTCCCCAGCCTTCTGCTTTGAAAATGACGGCTAGAGCCAAGTGGTAAGCTTCCTTAATTTATTCTTTTAGTGTAATTGCGTAATCTTTATTGGCTGATTAATCAAATATTGGTGTGATATAATTGATTGATTAGAATCAAATAATAGTTTCATTAAGTTATATTTACTTATCATAAAGTTACTCTACCTGTAGCCTCCGAGGTTTTAAGATACAGCTGTACTTAACAAGAATATTTTTTGCTTTATTTGTGGGGGTCATATTGAAAATTTACAGTTATCTGTTTGGGAGTTGGTGTAGCCGTTGAAGGAGTTGAAACCATTGGGAAGCCAGTTGATGAAGGATGCATTTGATTAAAGCACGTGATATGAGTTTTAAAAGAGAGTCATCCTTCAAATGGAAGCTTTAACAAGACCTATTGTATAATTTATCCTTCAACTCGAATTATAAGATTGAATGTGTACCAACTGTTTCAGGTTTAGAGATCTCATGGTTGAATGAATATTGTATTATATGTTTATTGGGTCCTATCACTCCAGAAGGAGCAATGCAGAAATATATTGATATTCTTATGGAGCATATGTGTGTCTATATTTAACAATTGTTTCTGGTTTAAAGTCTCATGGTTGTATGATGAAATACATAATTCTTTGATGAAATACATAATTCTTGTTAATTGTTTCTAGGCAAGCGTGGCAGAAATTGGGTGCTATGCCTCCAGAAGAAGCAATGCAGAAATATATTGATATTGTTACAGAGCTATATCCTACTTGGGCTGCTGGTTTATCCACTGTGAGAATTAATCTTCTTGTTTATCATGTTTCTGTTTGTCTTAAACTGCCACAAACCTTTTACTTTATCAAGGATATTTTGCGTTTACTTAATCCCTCTTTTTTCAACTGTGGATGACCAGAAGAGCAGAGGTGGAGATGATGATGCAGTAACTAGAGAATCTAAAGGACCGATGGGGCCTGTTTTCAGCTCTTTTGTGTATGAGGAGGAATCTGGAAATGAGTTGTAAGGTTTTAAGAACTTTGTTTCTCAAAATGTTCATATTAAATGCATTGTCTTTTTGTGTGGCATTGGTTGATGGTCTAGCTGATCTGAAATCAATTAAATGGTTTGCAATTCTTTAAAGGTTTGGGTTTTTTTCCTTTCAAATCTTTTGAATATATCGCATATATAAGGGGTTGGCTTTATTTTGTTTTGTTTCCTATTTGCATATCATTATGCTCAAAATGAGTAAGAGCCGCAAGGTCAATTTTTTTTTTTTTTTTTTTTTTAATTAAGCGGGAACTGCTTTCTTTTTGACTTAATTGCTGCAATTTGATGAATGGTAGAGGGGTGTCCTTTTTATTGGTGATATTAGTTTGGGCAAAATTATATATGAGTGTGCTTATCAGAAAGAAAAGAGATATTCCCCTAGAGTTAAGTTAAATTTGTGGCTTTGGTTTCAATTTCATTCCTCCTACATGTCCCAAAAAGAAAAAAAGAAAAAAGAAAAAATAGTCCTGATAATATATTTCCCTCCTTACCATACTATAGTGCAAGCCTTTAAAGACTATATCACTGAGTCATTTAGTTGTTCTTTTGCTTGACTCTGAAATCATTTATATGCTACTTCTTTTATTCATTATGATATTCAATTCTGGCCTGCATCAAAAACTGCTAATACCATCGAATAGTGTGTTTTTGGTAATCTTGTTAAATAGAAGGGAATTATAGCTACAATGTTAAGTAAAGGAGTAGAAGCTATACTTCCTGTTTTGCCAGGTTTAATGTAATTGGTCATTTCATCCAAGTTGCAAGAGGCAGATCTATAGAACTCTTGGTAGTTTTCTCTTGATTATATTTTCCAACTGTTGTATGTGTAACTAATTAATTATCCCTGAAAATAAAGAAGGAATAAGTAAAACAATGTATATTTATTTATAGTTATTATTGTTACTTGTTTAATCTTTGCAGTATGCTGTTGTTTCTTGGTGGATGTATAGTCATTATAACCTTTTCTTTTAACTAGTTTGATGTTATTAATTAATGTTGGGGTGGGATGGAGGTTAGCAAAGATATGTTTGACCTTTTGATGGTTGAATTTGTGCCTGTAGATATATGCTACTGTGAGGTCTTTCGACTGAGTTTATGTATATAGGGGATTGAGGGAGAGGTAGATATTGCAATCATGCATGTGGGATTAAAACATCTGCGCATGATTGCAATCAGTTGTATTTTCATTGGTTTGGGTCAAGGGTTTGTTTTGTTCTGCTCTTCATGGGTCCTTTTCTTGCTCAAATTAGAATATTTGAACTGAATTCTTTTTGAAGGGGAAACAAAATTTGAAATGCTATCTCTATCCAATGCCAAAAATGTCAGAAGTACTGAATTCGTGTTGGTAAATAGAATGCTTGTTTTCAAGAAACTCATTGATACTTTAAAAACTACCCTTTCTTTGTCAAAAGAAGTAATGTTTATGAAACACAAAATTATGATGACAAGCTAAAACTTGTTATTTACAGGAAAATGGATGCTGTACATGCTTTTGCCAGAGAAGGAGAAGTGGATAATTTGCTTAAATGTATTGAAAATGGTGTTTCAGTGAATTTGAGAGGTACTATTTTACTTTTAATTGTAGTTTACTATTTTCCTTGGCATTGACACTGTTGGCATTGATGACAACGGTGCTGACACATCGACATAATTCTTAGAGATGCAGAGCAGACCAAGCTGCTCATGAACAGAACAGCTCATCTGAGCTTTTTGTGAAGCTCATTCACCTATTGAGTGAGCGAAACACAAATACATGGATGTTTTTCTTCCTAGTTTGATCTGCATTCAAGGATCACAAGGTTTATATTGCTAATTTAATGGTTAACTGGTGATATTCTAGATAGTGAGGGTCGGACTCCATTGCATTGGGCTGTAGATCGTGGCCACCTCAACGTCTGCGAACTCCTTGTTAGCAGGAACGCTGATGTAAATGCAAAAGTAAGTAATTTTTATATATACATGTACACATGCTCATTTTTATAAGGTTGCTTTTGTCATTTGAGAATAGAACATAATTGAAAGTCTATGTTCCGATCTGCCATTGGATTTTAATCACTTCTTGTGTGTTCATTTTAAAATCAGGAAATCTACATTTCCTGTCGGTTGATTTTCAGGGATGGTTTATCATTTATCATCCTACTTTGGAGTTTTAATGATTTAAGCTTTCTTCTAGGAATTGTTTGTATAACTTATGAGATTTAATTAATCTGGTTGTTTAGTGATTAACGGACTCGTATTTTGGAAACAGATGGTTAAAAAAAAAACATTTAAATTTGTTTCGTTCTAATATTTTGGATAAGTAGAAAAGGAGTTGTGTGTTTTCTAATTTTTGAGAAACACATAAATGGCTTTTCTGTCATTTTTTTAGTGTAATGCTAATTTTTTCTGAATGAATTTTGTTTATTCCAAATCATGTTCTCGAAATGTATTATGAATATATTTCTTAATTTCAAGAGCCCAAAACCATTTTCAAAAAGGTACCTCTATGATCAACTTTTTATGTCATCATTTTCTGGATTACATATTGTTCAAAGTGATAAGATCAAGGGATAAGTTTAAAAGTTGTTCAAATAGTAGATTGGGAAAATAGCAGATTTGGCCAGATTTTTTGAGAGGAAGATTTTTTTAAATATTACCACCCTCTGCAATCAGCAGGCCTTACTCTCTTTCCATGCTTGAGTTCTATTGTTTCGAAATCTGACTTGTGTCTTTTGGGAACTTGATTAGAACTTATCAAGTGTCCTACTTCTTCCTTCGTGTCTTAACAATTATTGTTGTTTATTAATTAACATATTCGCTCTATTTGGTATTTTTTTCAAATGGAAGGACAATGAAGGCCAAACTCCATTGCATTATGCTGTTGTGTGCGAGAGGGAAGCTGTTGCTGAGTTTCTTGTGAAGCAAAATGCTAACATAGACATACAGGATAATGATGGCAACTCCCCTAGTGAGAACTGGCCTTGGATGCGAGATGCAGTGAAACAGAGTGACTGATGGTTGTGTTTTGTTATGGTAGCTCAAGTAATTCTCGACAAATTTCTCATGCTTGTACATGGCTATACAATGATAACAACCTCTTTCAACTTATTTCATCTTAATGATATATTAGTATCGGGCTTTATATTCTCGGCCCTCTGCTAATTGTGATTCTTCATCTTCAGTAATTGAGGGAATATGAAGAATGAAGTTTTATGGTTGAATGGGCTGCATACACTCAAAAAAGTCATCATGCTTTTTTATCTTTTTCTTTTCACCATTGTATTACTGATGGCATGTTATGATATTTTTCAATGGTAGTAACATGTGTCAAATTTAACCCAAGGAAATTTGAAGTGCCAATTTGTTTGGTATTATGTAATAATCAAATCTCTTTTCATTTTAGACTAAATGATTTTCTTTTTTTATAGTTATGCTATTTGGATGTTATTATGAGCAATGTTTTAAAACTCGGTCTGGCTCGGCCTAGCTGACTTAACAGTACGATGGGGGACCAGTCACTAAGCCAGGCCGGTCAAAGTGAAAAACCGATAACATGAATTCACATAGTATGACCCACAGTTGGATCGATGTTATTGTAGCAACTTGCCAATCCAACTGGTTTAGGGGCAAAATTGGGTTAACTAATCCCCAATTTTTTAAATCCCGAATTTGAGTTTTTATCATTGGACCATGGTTTTTAGCTCTCAAATTTAGAGTTCATTCTTTGTAAGAAGAAGAAAGGAAGAAGGAAGAAGTGGTCGGTTCGATTTGGACCTTGTTTGGTTAGATTGCGATGGCCAAGGCCTTCTTGGTCATCAAGTGAAGTAAGGGGGAGGGGAAGGAAGAAGAAAGGGAAGAGGAGACAAAGAGAAAGAGGAAGGAAGAATATTAGAAGAAAGAAAAGAGGAGACGAAGAGAAAGAGGAAGGAAGAAGGAAGAAGAAAGAGAAAGAGGACAGGAAAATGTTGTAGTAGAGAGAGGGGAAAGTGATGGGGAGAGAGAAGAAAGAAGAAAGAAAAGAGTGATGGGGAGAAAGAAAAAAATAATTAGTAATACAAGTTATAGGAGTGCGTTTGCTTTACTTCAAACTTATAGGGATTTATGGGCCAAATTTAAGGGTGTATTTGCTGGTTTTTAAGCTTATAAGGACTTAATAGTAATTGTTTAGAGGAGGTGTACATTGTACACCGGTCAACCTAGGAACTGGCCCTTTAAAACATTGAATCTGAGTTGATTGAAACCATGAGTTGTAGTGTTGGATTTATGTTGTCATTCCGAATTATCCTGTTGGCATTTCCTTCTAGGGACACCGTCATTATTAAAAATATAAATTGTTAAAGTAAATTTTTAAGGGAGAACAACATTTTCCCACCCAAGGTTTGGTAAAACAACCTTTTCCGCCCATCAAGTTTCAAAATGACACTTTCCCACCCTTTGTTAAATTCTGATATGTTTTCCATTAATATTTTACTGAAAAGAAGAAAATACCTTAAATATTTTACTTTATAAATTTTTTATTATTTTTTAATTAGCCAAAAAATCAAATATTAAAAATTTAAAAAAGAAAAAATAGTTTACATCACTTAAAAAGTTAGGAGTAATACTATGAAATTGTTTAAAGTTAAATAACTTTCATATTTATTTATTTATAATGTCATCAATATCCTATCACCATTATTTAATAATCTACTAAATTTATAATGTTTTTCATTTTTACTAATTAACATAGAAAATCAATATTCATAATTAATTAAATAAACAAAGAAAAAAAAATCTGTATACTTAGACTAATAAATAATCAAATAAAGATTTTGACTTAACTAAATTTTAATTTATAATAAATTAATTAAGGGTATTTTCCTCTTTTCAATCAAATATTAACAGAAAACACGAACAGAACCTAATGAATGGTGGGAAAGTGTTATTTTGAAACTTGATGGATGAAAAAGTGTCGTTTCGTCAAACCTTGGGTGGGAAAATGTCGTTCTCCCGATTTTTAATCTATCCATCTTAAAATTTCGGGTTAATTTCATTTGCCCCTAGGGAGGTACGTAAGTCTGAAGTGGTACGTCGATTTTCATAAAGTGTTAAATAAGTATTTAAAGTAAACGACATATTCCCACCCAAGGTTTGACGAAAACCAAAGTTGATACCCCAAGTTCCATTTATTCTAGATTCTCACCCTTAAAATAACACTATTAACAATTTTTAGGGTAGTGAGGGTGCAATTACTATAATGCCCTTAACCTAAATTAGTAAATTATATTTTAACCCCTAAATTACTAAAATTATAAAATTAACCATCTTATTTTGAAATTACTTCAATTACACCCTCAGTGACTGCTCACCATCTCTGTGTTCATCGGATATGGGCTGTTTCCGATGGCGGCGAACCCCCTCGTCACCTCCATCACCTTCCCCATCGTCCGTCATCCAAAACCCCTCTAGTTCCCGACTCATTGGGCCCTCCAATCGTCGGCGCCATCAAGCTTAGGTTTTCGTCGTTCTTCGCTGGATTTTGGTCGATTCCAGCGACGAAAATGCAATTGGACATCACCACTGCAACCAGCATCTCCAAGTCTACAAAACCCCTATGTCCCCAGTAGCCGTTTAGTGGCCATTCGTCAATGGAGAGCGACAAAAACCAGTTGCATGTGGCGGCTGTCATGGCTGGCGATCGGCGAGTGATGAGGGATTGTGAAGGGTACGGTTTTGTAGAGGGGAGGATGAGGGTTCGAATCGTGGTGACAAGGATGATTTTAGGTGGAAGAATCGCCAGAAAATGGTGAAAAACATCGGCGGTGATGTTAGCTAACGTGCGCCAGAGCTTTGTTAGGGACGGCTAATGTGCGCCTCCTTTGCAAAATGACCAATTTACCCTGAGCTGTTATATCTAACAATTTTCCATTACTTTAAGGGTAGGAATCTGGAATAAATGAAACTTGGGGTACCAACATAGGATTTCATCAAACCTTGGGTGGGAATATGTCGTTTACTCCAAGTATTTATTGTTAAGATGGAGTTGAAAGAAATGAGAAATCAATTGAAGTCGATTTTCATAAAGTCTTAAATAAGCATCTACAGACTACAGTTAAGATAGAGTTGAAAGAAATCATTTGACGTCAAAGTTCAAACTGAAGAAAGGCAAATGCGTAACTGAACTAAGTTTTATTTATTTATTTATTTTTATTTTTAATTTCTCCACTTTTTCTCTTCCCCTTCTCTTCTTCTCTTCTTCTCCTCTCTCTTTTTCTCTATTCATTCTCCCTCCTTTCTCTCCCATTGTTGTCCTTTGATTTGTCCGGATGGCTGTGAAGGGTGGGGTTTAGATGGGTGTGGCAACTGTGGTAGGGTGGTGTTTGTTGGTTAATCGAAAATGGTTTGTTATTGTGGGGTGATAGTATTGGTAATGGGGTGTGGTTGGGTAAAACAGGGGAGAGAAAATAAGGGTAGAAGAAGAAGGGGACGGAAAAAAACATTAAGGGGAGAAAGAAAACAAGAAGGAAAGAAGAAGAGTTTGGTGGTTTTTGGGTGGTTTTGTAGTCGAGTTTGTGGTGGTTTTTGGGTAGTTTTGTGGCTGAATTTTGTGGTGGTTTTTGGGTGGGTTGGTGGCTGAGTTTGTGGGCTAGTTTATGGCTTGGTTTGTGGGTGAGTTTGTGACTCGGTTTGTGGTGGTTTTGGGGTGGCGGCAACTGACTCTATGGAGGTTCTAAGCTTCGTGTGTTGTTTGTTGTTTGGTTGGCCAGATTGTGGTTTTCTGGTGCCGGATAAGGCTGAGTTTGTGGTGGATTGTGGCTTGATGGCTTACCCAAGTTGAAGAAACTCATATTGCAGGGGCCTGTTTACAGGTTTTCAAACTTGCAAGGTTTTTTAAGGTCTGTTTACAAGTTGATTTTTTTTTGTTTTTAGCAGTTTAAGGGTAACAAGATCATTTCATAGAAGTATATCAAATTATCTAAAATCGATTTGGCTGCCTTTAACTTCAACTGAAAAAAACAAATAAAATAGGAGTTAGGTCGTGTTTTTTTTTTTTTTCTTAAAAAAAAAAAAATTGGAGACTTACTTTATTGTGGGGGGAGGGAATTGAAGTTTAGCTCATGTGTGGAAAGTGTCTCCAAGACTAGCCCAACATAATTTCCCTCTTTTTGAATGCCGAAAATACCCCTCCATATATGAACTTCAATAAACGCCCTAGTTAGTAAATACGGGTACGGCAAAAAAACAGTACAGGAATTATACGGGTATAATACAGCAAATAGTGAAAAATACGTTTATAAAAATTCGGCCATAAAATTCGGATACGGGAAAAATACGGTACGGGTATATATGGGTTTACTACGGTGTATTGTCAATAATACGTTTTGAAAAATACGGCAATATCAATCTTAGTTTTAACACTTTTATGGACTACCTGGTTAAAAGCAAAGTATTCAATTAATCAATAACACAAATACACAATATATAATTGATATTCAAATTATAGTCTTCAGACTCAAACACAATATTTAGCCAAGATTCAACTATAGTGTCAAATTAAACACATAAGTCATAACAAAATCAAAATTCAAAATCGAATAAGAGCTCCAAACAAATAAAATACACAAATAATACAACAAAGATTCAAATTATAGTTTGTAACAAAAACTCACAAAGTACATAAACAACAATAAGTCAATAACAACTCAAAAAAGAGCATCGATTTTTTACTGATTTAATTGGTAAGTGAGCTGTTAAATTTTTTACCTATATATATATGAAGCAACTATAAGATAGATAAGATGCCTTTTATTCATACCATACTTAAAGATAACCATGAGACTAACCTCATGGCATACAATGCTGCAAATAAATAAAATATTAAAAGAAACCAAACATGTTTCAAACCAAATGACAGACACATTATGATAAATAAAATTAAAGACTCAAACACCCTGAGGCATGAATAAACTAAACAAACTGTGTTCTGGCAGACACCCTTTTCAACATTCTAAACCATCAAGGATTTCAGTAAAATACGTCTGAATCCAGGATGATTATATCCATGAGGAGGCATCATATTTGGATTGAAGCCAACAGACTGAAGATCAAATGGAAGATTAATCCCTCCACCACTTGATGAACTCGCTCCAAGAAACTGTGGAGGACCAGAATTCTGGATCATAATCTTCTCAGCTT